TTTTTCAGTCCTGACCCACTTGAAAGATTATCACCTTCTCAACCACCAGCTCATTTCTTGAAGCTCTCTAAGGTTCTCAGATTCTGCCCTCTTGCATCTTAAACCTTATCTCCATGGTTTCATGCCTTCCACAGGAACACAGAGGCAGCACTACCCATTTAGTATTCTGATTTGATAGGAAATTGCAAATGCCAAGAGGATGCAGCCAGGCTCTTGTTGGAGCTGCCAAGCAATAGGACAAGAGGCAATGGGCAGAAACTGATGCACAGGAAGCTCCTCATGAACATGAGGAAGAACTTCTTTACTCTGCAGTGACCCAACACTGGAACAGATTTTTCAGAGAGGATGTGGAGTCTCCCTCACTGGGAATATTCCAGAACAATCTGGACACAATCCTGTGCCATGTGCTCTGAGACGACCCTGCTTGAACATGGGGGCTGGACCAGATGACCCACTGTGGTCCCTTCCAACCTGACCCATTCTGTGATTCTGTGAAATTACTTGCTACAACTACACATAAAGTGAGGAATCCAGCTCACACAACTGTAGCTACTTAGAAGTTGCTCTGTCTATCTAAGGTAGTTGACTTCTCATACAAGAAGTGCTGGGAGGAGGGGGACACTTCAGAGCATGATGCCCCACCCTTCTTAGGGACCTGATAGCTTGGACTGACTTGTCCCCAGAGGTGCTTCTTTCTCAGCTGGATCTGGGATGACTGCCTCTAACTAGATTCCAGCTGAAGGGCTAATGTTAGATGAGCTGAGTCCGTGGAAAGTCATGCTTCTGCTTTTCCCTCGAGGTTTTTTCTTCACAGACCTTTCCCTTGTGAGCTGAAAAAAAGACTAAGAAATCAGAGTTTGCAGCAATTTGGCTGGAAGACAGATAAAATCAGTAGTCAAACAAAAGCAGTTAAGATAGCCAAGACTGCCTGTAAAGTGAAATACGTGCTCTTCTCATACAGATGAATGCATTTAAAGTAACTTCAGTTTCACCATACTCACAGGGCAGACCATCAATCTTTTGTTAACATCCATCATCATGAGCAGGACAAATACCAGGAAATCCTCTCCTGGAGGTGCTCCTCTGCTCCCTCTCATTACTCTAACACCTACTATTTACAGTTTTTAATACCCTGTGAGTTTTTAATACCCCAAGGTCCTCTTGGAGGTGACAGAGCAGAAGTATTCCATCTTACTTGTAAATAGGTAACATAAAGATGTACATTGGCTTTCCTTTGGAAGATCCATAGTAGATGAGAAGGATAGGTAATGTTTCTAACATGGACATCCATCTTATTTTTATACATCTTGTTTAGGAGTTCTCTTTTGCAATGTAGGCATTTTCAGTGCATGACATCCACATCCAAGTCAGTTATCCTACATTATTCCAAGTAAAGAGGTGAGGATAAATATTTCTCATTCTAGCAAAAATGAGGTGGTGCTAGACCTAATCTGCTGACTGTGAAGAAAGGCTTGGGAGTTAGATAAGACATAGAACTATGCTGTAGACTGTGAAAGCTAAAGGTGACCCAAGGGAAAGGCATGAATTTGTGTCAGTGGAGGGTTAGGTTGGATATTAGCAGAAGGTTCTTCACCTAGAGGGTGGTTGGGCACTGGAACAGGCTCCCTAGGGAAGTGGTTGTGGCACCAAGCCTGACAGAGTTCAAGAAGCACTTGGACAAGGGACATGATGTGATTTTTGGGGTGGTCCTGTGCAGGTCCAGAATTTGGACTCAGTGATCCTCGTGGGTCCCTTCCAACTCAGCATATTTTGTGATTCTGTGACCTGAATCCCATCTCAGCAACCCAATCCTCCTGAAGGAGGCCAAGCTCCCTATGCACTCAGTAGAAAAGAAGTGACTGCGAGGCTGCTCAGAGAGATACAGCTCATGTGCCTAAGCCTTCCCTTCACGGGCTTTCCCTCTATATACAACATGGAAAATATAGGGCTTTCATGGAATTTCTTCACTAAGCGCTTACAATTCAATTGTTTAGATGAAGCTGATCCCAACCAAGTTTTCTCAATCCTGGGTTAGCTTCCCTAGCTGGCGAAATAACTTTTCTTCTAAGCTACAAGGCTGCCTTGAACAGTCAGTCTTTGGATGTGGGAGTATGCTACAAAACCTACCCAGCCTCTGTAGAGTGGGTGTACTGGAGGATGCTGAAGGTCACTGTACTTGTCTGAGCACCCTGTGTCCAACATCTCTCTTCTCTGCAGGCGTCCATCCAACCCCACTTAGCTACAGCTCTGTCTAGATGTGGACTGAACACCCAGCAATGAGAGTGCCCCTGGATGCTCCAGCTGAGACTCTCTCTCTGCTAGGGCTGTACAAAAAAGTGAAAAAACAAGCACTAAAGTTTTGACAAGCTGCAATGAGGAAAAAACCAAAACAAAATTAGAGAGGAAGGAAATAAATAGAATCATCCTGTTGTATGTGATAGGCAACAGAAGTTGTTTGTTTCATGCTTCATCCTGCTTAGGACTCCCGCATTGTTGGGCTTTCTCAAACATGCCCTAGCAATTTTATCCATGTAGAAAAAGTTGCTGACACTTCTTTGAGGAGAGATTGTGACTAGGCAGTCTCCAGAGATCTCTCTCAACCTCAGTGATGCTAGATTCTGCAGTTTCCATCATCACTGTAGGTCTTCAGATAACTGAGCAGTTGGATCAGACCCCATCCAGACCAGCAGTCGCTCTGGGTGCACAGAATGCTCTATGTCAGCTGTGCATATTCCCATTGATATGAGCAGTGCAACAGCTTCCACGTCATGTATCCAGTGAGGTTTCCTGTGCGGGTGTCCAGACACCCTTGTGGAATTTCTTGGATGGAAGTATGGGAGCCTGATCAAGCTGAGCAAGTTGTGTTTAAAGGCTGCATGGCATAAGTAAACCTTAAGGGGAGATCAGGGGGATGACAAAGCTGTGGCTTCTGATAGGGAAACCATGCTATTTGGAAAGATTTCAACCAAAAGGAGGAGCCTTTGGTGTCCTGATTTGTGCCTCTATTTTTGTCTGTATTAGTTGCCATTACTTGTATTTTAACCCCACTTGCTCTTCGACCATTTAAGAATCATTTGTGACAGTTATTTTGCACAGTAGTAAACCAGATTACATCAAGGTTTGTCAAGCTTCCTCTCCTCTCTAATGTATGGAAAAATGTTACACTTAATTTGGTTTGTTTGGGCAGTGTGGACAGGGATTAGCCATGCTATATACGGACCACAAACGTTGTTCTGGTTAACACCACAGTGGAGCCAAACCTGAACATTTCATCTCAGCCCTGCAAACTTTGGTGGTTTGGATGGAAAAGGAACCTGTATTTGAACTGGGCTTTATTTTTGTTTTTGTTTTGAAAAACCAAAGACAAACCAATAGCATTTTGGAAACCCAACATCCAGCATCCTTAGCCCACCTCTATTGGACAGGGATTGAGTGCCTGTGAAGGCAAGGACTTTGTATTGGGAAGAAAGCCAATACACAAAGGAAGGAAACTGTTTCAAGGAACCTGCAGTAACTTTCCATAAAAACCTCAGGGACCTCAAGGCAGTCTGAATTTTGTGTCATAATCCCCCCTAAGCCACATATGTGTTTGATTAGGAACAACATGGTGGTCCCATGTGGGACAAAGATGGACTTTTGCTCGCTGCATGTCCAGCTGGTTTGGTGTTAGAAATGACAGGGAGAAGCCTTCTTTGTTTTTGAGTGAGTTTCAGTTTGCTATCTGGAACACCAAACCAGCCAGTAATGAAAATGAATTTCTCACATCAAATTTTTTAGATGCCAGAAATAATAATAGTATGTTGTTAACACCTTAGTACTTGGCTTTCTCTAGGTTGTTTTAACCTAGATAAATCTGTTAATTTGTGTCTTTGTATCCACAGTAGTGCCTTAAAATTTGCACTTAATTGCAGCAGAAGTAGTTTTAAAATCCATCTGTCTTACACTGACCACTCCTGTAGCATCTCACCACCTCCTGTATAATGTGTTCCCAATGCTAAAATAAAAATCTACAGAGTGATATAGTAATTCCACCAATACATATCTTTGAGGCTGTTGAAAAGCAAACATTTCCTATTATATTTCTGGCTTTCAGAATAATTGTAAAAATAGGATCATCCTTACCATACAGTATTTAACAGCTGGGCACAGTGGGTAGAGCACCTTGGACCTTAGCATGGTTCTCCAAGCCTTTGTGTATCCCCTAGGGGCTGCTCTATCATCCTAGACTGTATTTGATGGATTCAGTCCAAGAAAGCACGTTTCTGATGACCATAGGGGACACTGGATGAGGTCCACTGAACTACTGGCAAGAGAGCACAGGTGTCAGGCTGGGATGGCCAGTGTCAACAATTTCTTTCTATCTACTTGTTCTTTTTTTGATTTGATTTTCATAGCTGAAGCTAATGAAGGGATCTTGGTAGGGATATATATCTCAGTTTGTGTAAACTCAGTCATGTTTCCACATACAAAAAAAATAAAATTATTGAAGAGTTTAAGCCACCAAGTAGCTCTTACTGTTTCTGGTGTTTAGTTGTCTATTCAAATCAAAATGCTGGAAACTGGGACCCTCTGTAAAGCAGCAATTAACTTTGGCTCGGGCAGCAGCCATCCAGCCCTCACATCTCCAGGGGAGATCTGAGTCAGTTAGGACATTACCATCATTTTATGGCTGGCCAGGAAAACACAGCAGGGAATTCACCAGCTAATGCACAGCTATGAGACGCCAACCAGAAAAATGTTCAGGCCTGTCCACAGGCTTTATGAAGAATAAGGGTGGAAAGTTAATTTAGTTTTATAATATTTAGTTCATGTTTACCTACAATAGACTCTTGTCTTTGAGTACATCTGTTCTTTTCTAATTGGCCTACAGAGAGTATCACTGCCAGCTGATGAAATTCCCCCTTTCAGAAGGCCTGGTCCCATTGAGGGGACAGCAGGCAACAGTCTATGTATGTAAGTAAAATGTGTAAATCAAGGCTCACAATGTGTCTTCCTTACAGATTCAGATCCTTGCACGCCTGATGCTCCACCTGCTGCCACTTCACCACCAACCTCTGAAGAACCCGGACCTTTCACAGCTCCAGCATCACCCTGCTCTTCCTCTGACACTGGTACTGCATCATTTTCACCACCATTACCTGCCTGTGTCGCAGCCTTATGTCCCAAACCACCTCCTATTTCACCATCAACATCCACTTCTGCTGCCACTGTTCTCCCTGGACTTCCTTCTCTTCCTGCACCACCTGCCTCTGCTCCATCCCTGCACCCTGGAATTTATTTGCCAATAGTCCCACCCAGTGGTGCCACCCATCTCATCAACTGGCTGCCCTTCCTCGCTTCAGCAACACTTGCCACCATCCAAGGGAAGGAGGAAGACCAGCCACCCGTAAGAACAGGCTCCCTGGAAGGCATGAAGCCCTGCAGCAGCCCACCCCCACAGCCCTCCCATGATGAGAATCCCCAGGCAGCACCTGTGGGAAACAGTGCTCCGGGGGCTGCTTCCCCACCACCAGCTGTCCATACCATGCCCCCAAGCTCCGAGCAGGCGTCGGCGAATGTGAGCGACATCCTGGCCGAGCTGCGGACGATGAACAGCCACCTCTCCACCATCGCCCGAGCCCTGACCCAGCTGGCATCGTCCCTGGCACCGCAGCAGGATGCACGTGGCACCCCCCCTCCTTAGGGCCAGGTCTGCACAGGCTTACCATGCTCATAGGGGCTGGAGGAAAGGGACCCTACCCAGACCTGCCCATACCATCTGTGTGTGCGCTCTCTGCGGTCGCTGACGCCGACCATGTCTCCCCAGTGGGTTTTTCTGTTTGTTTGTTTGTTTGCTCCTTGTAAATGGCTGCATATATTAAAAAATAGTTTTGTGGTCTTGTTAATAAAATTGTTTATGTTTCTTTGCATTCCTTTCAGATGTGCTCTCTCCCCTCCTCTCACCCATTAACCACACGAGCACTGGTAGGAGTCGGTGAGGTCTCGCACGGTGAATGCTGAAAATCTGAAGTGGTGAGAAGTTACCACGAGAAAATACTCGAGGAGGTGACAAAACCCCTCTGGGCAATGTGGGGGGACACAGACAGGAAAGGACACAATAAAACTCTGAAAAAATTCCCTATTTCTCTCCATCTATGCTGCATGGGATGGCTGTGTTGAAATTGGACCCTTTCCTGGTACACTAAATCTCAGAGGTAATTGTAACTGCTGACGCAGGTACACTCTGTGATAAATTGTCCAAAACACAATGCAGGGTAGTTGTCTAAGCAGCACTGGGGTTGAACAGCTAACAAACAGCCTCGACCACCTCTTGTCCTCCAGAGATCAAGATCTGATGGTGCTTAGCTGAAGTCAATCTATCTTACTTTGCCGGTGGTGCCTCGGGTTCTTCAAGTGCATAAACAGGCCAAGCTAATTTACAACAATTAGCCAGGCACGCGTGGATAGATCCTGACATTTCACCATCTTTTCCCTATTGCCAAGCTGCAGCAGCTGGCATAAAGGTGGCATTGAAGGCGTGAAACCTCAGACAATCCCCTTCGTGGATGAAGAAAGAGCTCTTGGACATGAATCCAGAATCTGCCCTCTGAGGTACGTGACCTGTAGAGCAGCTGATGAGGGACCACTGGACACTGTTTCGTCTGGTGGAGGCATAAGAGCTGGGAGATGAAGGGTGGGATGTGCTCTGAGCTCTGGAAGAGCCCCAGGAAAGAGGACTCACAACCCTTGCAGAGCCATTTTGTGCCTGTCAGCCACAGTCTGCCCATAGTGCAAATCCAACCAGGTTGGATGGGGCTTGGAGCAACCTGGTTATGTGGAAGGTGTCCCTGTCCAAGGCAGGGGGTTTGGAACCAGATGATCTCTAAGTCCCCTTTCAACCCAAACCATTCTGTGATTTTATGAACCATCAGCCAAAATGTATTTTCCCAAAGGTGATCCGAGCATAGGGCTGGTGACGGCTGAGCCAGGCTACTGCCTTTCATCCCAGTGGATTAAAATGAAATACATGCTCATGGCAAATAGAAAAAAAGGCCTCTGTGAAGTTGTATATGATCTCTCCTTAATTTAGCCATGCAACCCTCAGATATCAGGATCTGAGGCCATCTCTAGGAAAATCCCAGACAAACAGACAGATTGCTAGATAAGATTAAAGAGGAAGTATTCTGTCTATTTGCAAATATTTCTGTTACAGATGAGCCTAAGCCACAAAGATTGAATGTATATACAAACTTCCCCAAAGCTCAGGTGTATTTGAATTTGAGGTTTTGGTTACTGCATATGTATTTATATATAAACCTATCCATATTTTTGAATCTGTGCCTGAAAGACAAAGCAACTGCCCTGTTCAATCATGGGGTTTTTTTTTCTATGGCTGATCAGACTTTTTTCCTCTGCTGTGTTTAGCAAAAAGGTGGAAGAAAAAAAAAGTAATTTAATAGATGTCCTACACTACCTTTTAATTTTATGCATTTCAGCAAAGGGAGATAAAAGGAGTATCTTAAAAACATTCTGGCATTTGATTTTGCCATTGCAGTTTCCTTCGACTAAAAAAAAACAAAAATAAAGGGAAGTTTATCACTTTTCCTCCTTTCAATATGAAATATAGGAGAAGAAAGAAAGGGGAAAGCTTTATGGTTAAAAAAAATAAAGGGAATATTTTTCATTTTTACTGTCTTTCCCTCTTTCAGCTTTACATGGTAGTAAATAAACAACATATTCTCCCACTGTTGATAGTTTTGCTTGATTTATCCTACTCTTTTCCAATAGTAACCTTTCATGGCCTAATGGTGATGAAAATCTCAGTGGAGTTTTTCAGATATGTGCAAGACTTGCAGCCATAACTTCAGAAAATCTTACCGTGCAGCTGCTGATACTTTATCAACCAAGGTTAAATCTGACTTCATTTAGGTGTCTAAGGGATTTCAGAACAGTTTCCATGGCACGCAAATTCAGAAAGCCTGAAAAATCTGCCTATAGTCAGCTGTGAAGGCAGTGTTCTTCATTCTCAAAGATGCTATGCCCAGCTGGCAGGATGTTCCTGAGCTTCTTCCTAAAGGAATGAGATTTCTGTGGTCTCACAGCCAAAGATATTAAATGCTGAACACCCTTGCAGTCTAGACCCTGAGCTGTCTGGTCCTGCGGCACCCTGACAACAAGGCAGGACAAGAGCCTGTAGCCAGAACTAGCAGCTTTAAGATTGGCTTGGTAACCACTGCTGGCTCTCACAGGGACACAGCAACTGGCTCTGGGGCCAAGGAGGCAGACAGAGGCTGCTTGTGGGCAAGGTCAGTCCCTACCACTCTGAGCCAGCCTGAGCCCAGCCAGGGCTCTGTGAATGCTGCAGCTGCAGGGTCCCCTTCTGCAAACTTTCATGCAGGGTTTGTGCCCAGCCCATGCTGAGTTAAAACCCATCTCAGGAATGTATAGGCAGCCTCATCACGGCACAAAAGGTTTCACTGCCGTGCAAAGAAGGGCCCTGCCCATGGCCACCTCATTCAGTAAAGTGCGTTATTCTCTACTCAATGCATTCAACAGACTTATGTCCCTCAGGAATTACTCCTTCAACTCAGTTAAGTGCTGCAAGAAACAAGTAGTTGCTCTGACTGCATCACTTTGTTGGCTAAAGGTTGACTCTGTCTCAGATTTTGTTTGCTTTGCTTTCATTTGCCACCATCCCAGCTTGGTGCTCCAGCCCCACTGCTTCTCTCTGTGCGCTCAGCAGCTTTACTGGTATTGTTGAGCTGCTGCTCCACATGTGCTGCTACTACGTGGAAAGCTGGAGTGCAACTTATGAAAAAAAGTCTCCTAAAGCACCTGAAACTGGCAGCAGAGTGGCTGAAGAAGGACTGAAACCCTGGTGCACTTGGCACCGTGTCCCTGCAGTCCCCCAGCACCTACCGGGTGCTGGGTGTTGCTCCAAGGTAACAGAGACACATAACTGATGACAAACAGTTCAAGAGACTTTCTTCTCTCAATTATTAATTTTGATTCATCTCAGAGAGCGAGGGGCTGAAAATTATAGTACCTTGGTGTGTGTTCGAAGTCCTGTGTAGATGTAACCTCCTCATCTCACACTCCAGTGGCTGTTAAATAATTAAAAATCCCCTGCTGGTCTTCTCTCTCTTGGGACATCTTTGGTCTCTCCTTCTTCCTCTTCCACATCCTTGTTATTTGCAAAGGCAGCAATTTATAGGACAAGACTTATTTTATAATTGACAGATAGTTCTTTGGTTTTTTTCTTTGGTTCTCATCTTTCACAGCTACTTTCTAAACAAATATCAAGGATGGGTTTCAAGTCACCACACCTGAATCATCTAAACCTTGGTTTTGTAGTTCCTCTACAGACATGGAGAGGACTTTCAGAGTGCAGTTCATCCTGGCCTAGAAAAGGTATTTAAAATTGGTAGGAAGGCATTTGACTTCTGGCAATGTTCATCCCTCCCCCCAGACTATAGACCATTCATTTAAGCCAGGTGTTTGACTTCTAGATGGCTGGAAGCAAATTAAATGGATCCTCTGTTGGTAATTGCAGTTCATTTCAAATTGGTGAAGCATCAATATATCACACTTATTTGAATCACAATAGATGTGTGAGGAACTGGAAGAGAGGAAATGGGAGCTCAGGAGAATAGGACTGACAGTAAAACTGGAAGCCCATGCAAAATATGCAGCTCCAGCACCATGCCAGGAGTTATCCTGTGCCAGGAGAGCACCCTGAGGGACTCCCAGATCATTCCCTTCTCCTAGAGAGTTAACTCCTCAGGATGTGGAACTGGAAGCTAGACAACTTCATGGGATTTGAGTGATGTACTCGATGTCTGCTACTCCAGCAGGAATTATTTAAGGAGGCAGAAGGCTGTACAATATTGTATTAGACTGCAACTCAAGAAGGTGGGAGAAATCACAGGTTTACCCAGGAGAAATAGGAAGCTGGGTGGTTTTTCACTTCGTTTTCTCTAGCACACATTGTTCTTCCAGTATCTGTACACACATTCACTGTAACGACACTCAAATCTCCCAGTAAAAATAATTTATAAGGAAGCATTGCTAGGGAGTGCATTCCTTCACATTAGCCCAGCTGCAAGCTGGCAGTGCAGAGCCTGGGAGTGAGCTCCCTCCTCCAGACAAGATGGTTTTTCATCACAGTCCTGTCTGGGAAGCATAAAGCAGGTACCCTCTGCCAGATGCCCTTGTGGACGTCTCTGCCCACAAAGCTATAGGGTCTGTGTGCCTCCAGCTTCCTTCCAGACCTTTCACTACAGCATTTTTCAGAGTTCTTCAAGTTTCTGTTCAATTTATTTCAGTCCATGAGCCAGATAGTCAGGACACCTGTGTCAGGGTAGTGGTTGCACCCATAACCACAAGGCTGTAGCCTGAGCCCACAGGTGCCAGCCTGGTGAGAAATGTCATGGGGCAGGAGGTGGTACACCACCAATGTGGGCAGGGATGCCCTGTGGCCACGGCTGTCCCTGTCCCAGGTCGTGCTGGTGCGTGGCTGTGCCTGGGAGGGGGTAACTCTGAGTCACCAGTGATCAAACCGCATAGTCCACACTTATCCCACAGGCTGGGAAACCCTCTGCTCACATCACCCACAGGACCTAATAGAAATACAGGGTCTGCCCAGCCCCAGCTGACTTTGGAGCCCACTGTGCCAGAGAAACACCAAGGCAGGCAGCACTGCTCCCAGATTGCACTGGAGCTGAATAAACCTGGACCCAGGGACCTTCCCAGCTGTGGCTGAACTGGGAGACTGCTTTCACAGGATGTCATGTGCAAGTTAA